TGACTGATTGGGTGGTTGGTTGGTTAGTTGACTGACTGACTGACTAGCTGGTTGGTTAGTTGACTGACTGATTGGTTGGTTGGTTGGTTGGTTGATTAGTTGACTGGCTGACTGATTGGGTGGCTGGTTGGTTAGTTGACTGACTGACTGATTGACTGACTAACTAGCTGGTTGGTTAGTTGACTGACTGACTGCATGGTTGGTTGGTTGATTGGTTGGCTGACTGACTGACTCACTAATTGGAGGGTTGATTGGTTGGTTGGTTAGTTGCTTGACTGACTGACTAATTGGATGGTTGGTTGGTTGGTTAGTTGGTTAGTTGACTGACTGATCGACTGACTGACTGACTGACTGACTGATTGGTTGGTTGTTTAACTGACTGATTGATTGATTGATTGATTGATTGATTGATTAATTGATTGATTGATTGATTGATTGATTGATTGATTGATTGATTGATTGATTGATTGATTGATTGATTGATTGATTGATTGATTGATTGATTGTGGGTAATTGTGCTGATCTGAGATATTGTGTGTGTTTGCCAGGGTTGGGCAGAAGGATGTGGACATTAAGCTCAGTGGTCAGTTCATAAAAGAGCAGCACTGTGTGTTTTACAGCTACATGAACCACAACGGAGGAGGTAAGTGTGTGTGTGTGTGTGTGTGTGTGTGTGTGTGTGTGTGCTCGCAATACAATGAAAGTGTCTCACAATGCTGATCAAAACTCTGAAGTAAATAACTACATTGTAAACTCACAGCTCACATTCAGCTTTTGAGTTGAGTTTGCTGAATAAAACAGCATTGTATTATTATTTACTTATTTTTTAACTCTGCTTTTATTAAACCTTTTACAAGCAAGCACACATGACACCCATATAATCTGTAGGAAATGTGAGGCACAGTCTCTCCCATCAGACTTCTTCATCTGGTCTATAACAGTTGGCCAAGTTATATAAACATTGGTATAGCCTGTATTTTTAGGTCATGTGGTGCTTTGCTTAAACATTGGAGATAGTCGTTTGACAAGATGCATTTTTTTAGTTTGATTCAAACATTTAGAAGCAAAAATTTAAGAGACTGTGTGAAATGACTTGGTGATACTCCAAAATAAACCCGCCCATATCGCTGTTTAAATTCCTCCACAGTTCTGCTGCTGGTATTTACACATTCTGTGTTTTACAATAAATGTCATTTTCTATGGCTGGATTCTATGGTTGCGTCTGCATTGCTTAAGCCATTGAGCTACATATAGATGTGTGCACGTGTGTGTGTGATTGTGTCAGTGACACACACTCATGTCCTGTGATGATTTTCTCTCTGTCGGTGGAACAGTTGCTGGGATTTGACGCAGGTATCATCTGAAAGATCACCTTTCATCATTTGTCCTTCCTCCTCCTGTTCTCAACACACTCCTGCATTTATCAGTGTCATTTCTCCTCATATTTCCCTCTATACAAGCAGTCTATGTCAGTGTGTGTGTGTGTGTGTCAGGTGAATTTGCTTGTGTTCATGGCATGATGTGAAACTGTTTGATGTAGAGCGATCTTTCATCACATTCCATATCGCCTTAAATGGCATTATGTGCATGTAGATTCAGAACAAATGAAGTGGGCCTGTAGGAGGCGGAGTCTTCTGTCAGCAGCAGTTAGCCCTGCCCACTTCAGTAACATGCACTTTGCACAAAGAATGCCCATTCTTACCTTGAAAAGATCTAAGATACCCACCCACTTCATTAGCATGCATTGTGAACCTAGAGGAACCTTATTTATACCAAGTAAGAGCTCTGAAGGCCCTCACCCACTTTATTGCACAAAAAAGAATCGCCATTCTTACCAAGGGAGGAGCTCCGAACAGCTCCACCCATTTCATTTGCATACAGCTTGCACAAAGAATCCCTGTTCTTACCTTGGAAGAGCTCAAAAGAGCCCCACCCACTTTATTACCATACATTTTAAACCTAGAGAAACCTCAATTATGCTTGGGGAGGGGCTCTGAATAGGCCCGCCCACTTCATTAATATACTACTTGCGTAAAGAATCTCCATTCTTTCCTCGAAAGAGCTTAGAGGAGCCCCGCCCATTTCATTAGCATGCATTTTGAACCTAGAGAAACTTAATCTATACAGTACTTGTGATGGGCTCTGAACTGCCCCACTTACCTAATTAACATACTACTAGCCCAATGAATCCCGTTTTTACCTTAGTAAGAGCTCAGAAGAGCACCATTAATTTAATTTGCATACTTTTTGAACTTCATTTATACTGGAGGAACTCCCAACAGCCCCGCCCATTTCATTAGCATAGAACTTGCACAAAGAATCCCATCCTTCGGAAAGAGCTTAGAAGTGCTCCACCCACTTCATTAACATATACTACACTTCACTTAAAGAATCCCCATTCTTATCTAGGGAGGAGTTCAGAAGAGTCCCGCCCACCTCATTAGCATACCCTCCTGCTAAACACTGACTGTGTGTGTGTGTGTGTCTGCAGTGGACGTGACTCTGGAGCCGCTGGAAGGAGCAGAGACGTACGTCAACGGGAAGCAGATCAGGGAGTGTGTGCTGCTCAGACAAGGTGAGTGTGTGTTTGGGGCTGTCAATCAAGCGAAAATGAAAACTAAACACGAAGAAAAACTATTGGTTTAATGAAAAACATTTTCATTTACTGAAATAAAATATAAAAGTTCACAGTGAATGAAAAACTAAACAAAACTCACAACAGTTACTGCAAAAACTGACTGAAATCAAATCATAATTAGCAAAAATAATGATTAAATCGGGGCGAAGGAGTGGTGCAGTAGGTAATTCTGTCGCCTCACAGCAAGAAGGTCGCTGGTTCGAACCTCGGCTCAGTTGGCGTTTCTGTGTGGAGTTTGCATGTTCTCCCTGCGTTCGCGTGGGTTTCCTCTGGGTGCTCCGGTTTCCCCCACAGTCCAAACACATGCGGTACAGGTGAATTGGGTAGACTAAAATTGTCCGTAGTGTACGAGTGTGTGGGTGTGTGGATGTTTCCCAGAGATGGGTTGCGGCTGGAAAAAAACTTTTCCTCTGCAAAAAAACTTGCTGGATAAGTTGACGGTTCATTCCGCTGTGGCGACCCCGGATTAATAAAGGGACTAAGCCGACAAGAAAATGAATGAATGAATAATTAAATCTAAAAAAATAAATAAATAAAATAAAATAAAAATAAAAAAAACATAAATGAAACAAACTAAAAACTAAACTGAAATTTCCAAAGCACTTTCACAATGCTGATTATGTCAAAGCAGCTTAACAGATGAACATGATAATAAATTGAAACCTTCAGTCCAGTTTTCACAGATGAAGTTCAGTTCAGTGTAATAATGTAAATGTCACTGCTGAAAGCCCAAAACACTGAAGAGCAAATCCAACAATGCGCTCAAACTAATTGAAAACATGCTAAACATTAATAATAATAAAGTCAATCAATAGTTACTGTGAAAGCGCTATACAAATATAATTGAATTGAACTGAACATGACTGTAAGCTCGTCCTCTGGTGCCGCAGGTAACCGTATCGTGATGGGCAAGAGTCACGTGTTCAGGTTCAACCACCCGGAGCAGGCGCGTCTGGAGCGTGAGCGCAGTACCTGTGTGGAGCAGCAGGGGGAGCCAGCAGACTGGAACTACGCCCAGAGGGAGCTGCTGGAGAAACAAGGCATCGACATCAAGCTGGAGATGGAGAGGAGGTCAGATGTCAACACAGTAACCTAAAATTGGCTAGATACATGCTGGCCGAGAAAGCTTAACATGCTGCAGTTAAAGAAAACAATGCAATTACAAAAAAAGACCAGCAAATTAAGAAAAGATTCTCGTCAGTTTGACAGTGTGTTGCAAATCCTCACACGTTAAGGGTGCTTTCACACCTAGAGTTTTGTTTGGGAACCTGTCTCGTTTGCCCAGTTAGCGCGGTTCATTTGGCATATGTGGAACCACTGATCGCGCTCGGATCCGCGCCAAATCAATCGCTCCGAGATCGCCTGAATGAGGTGGTTTCAGCTTGATTGAATTGAACTCTGGAGCGGATCGATTGCAGTGAGAAAGCGATATGATCCAAGCCCGGCTATACGGCTATATGAAGAGGGAATTATGAGTAGGTCATTCCAGACATCCCAAGTCTCCCGGAAGTTCTGGAAGTCTCCCGCAAATGCACAGAGACTCCCGGATGCCAGCAAATGAGTGATAATCTCCCGCAAATCGCGCTTCTTCTCCCGGTCCTCAAATAAGCAAAATCATTTTATCACAAATCGAAAAACAAGATTATTTTGCTGACCCCATTGGCAGATTATTTTGCTTGATGGCATATTATTTCTTAAAGGCACTATGTTTTGCTTGTCTAGAAAATGCTTCTTGATTTAGGAATTTGTAGATATTTGGACTAAAAACAAGACAAAAACTCTAAGGAAGAAAGGCATTTTTTGCAGTGTAGGTTTTTATAATGTTTTAAATGTTTAATCATACACAATTCTGCCTTGAGTGGCTTAAAACGAATGCATTTAACTGAGTAGACGTGTGCTGACAGTGTATTCACCTTTGGTTTGCCTTTGTCAATCTCAGGTTACAGGATGTGGAGATTCAGTATCGACGAGAGAAAGAAGAAGCAGATCTGCTGCTGGAGCAACAGAGACTGGTGAGAGACAGACAGGTGTAAAATAAGTGTGCCTAGAGTGTGTGTGTGCGCGTGTGTGCGCGTGTGTGCGCGTGTGTGCGCGTGTGTGCGCGTGTGTGTGCGTGTGTGTGTGTGTGTGTGTGTGTGTGTGTGAAGTTTCAGCTCAAAATAGCACACTAATATTGTTCTCTAGCTCTCTGAAACTGACACGTTCAGGCTTTGATCTTAATCATGTTTTTTTTTGTGACTGTCGCTTTAAAGAGCACATTGTTTACCCCTTTTTTAAGATTTAATATTAACATTATGGTTGTTCTGAGTGTGCCAGTTTAGGTTCAGTTCAACACACAGTTCAGGGGCCTCATGTATCAACACTGCGTACGCACAAAAACTTTGCGTACGCCAGGTTTCACGCTCAGAATCGCTCATGTTTGGATTTACTAACGATGAACTGAACGTGGGGATGTGCGCAGCTTCACGGCAGCTTTCTGGCTGGCGTACGCACATTTTTTGTGCGTGTCTGTTTTATTTCCATTGGCGACTCCTAGAGGCAGTTGTGTTAAATTGCACTCTACAAAGTGTCTGAGCCGTGCAATGGCAGCTGAATGAGACAGGTTCATCTAGCAGGTATATAAGGTTTCCATACCATACAGTTGACCAGCCAAACATTAAAGCGCAATTTGCAGCGGTCGCCTGTTTTCCCAATGTAATCTGAGCGATCTACTGCACGCACAGTGCTATAAAGACACTATCTGAAGATGAATCTGGATGTGTGAATCAGAAATATTTCCATTCAATAAATGTGCAAATAAAATATGATGCACAAACTTATTGATTATTCCAACTTGTCTTTTATCGTGATAAATAGTTGGCAAAATCTGATATGTAGCAGGGAAAAAAGAAGAAAGAGTTCATCAGACGCTGGATTCGAACTGAGTTCATGCTCGAACGTGTCAAAACATGTTGACATGCGTTTTATGAGGTGCGCCACTGAGACTGTTGAGGGTACTGCAACATTTTACACCTATAAATCACACTATTTCTTTTCTAATTCACTCAGTGCGATGTTCAGACCCAGCTGTGTTAACCGCATAAGCTAAACTCTTCCACTCTATTTTTTTCTTTTGTTGTTAATCCCGGAGAACAAACTTGCAAATAACACCGCTTTCCTCCGGTCTACCTCTGAAAGCAGCACCTCCAATTCACATTCTGCTCAAGTTTCTCTTCTTGCTTTTTCCGTTGCTTTTTCGTTGGGTTTTGCCAAAGTAGAGTCATTAGCATATTCATAAAGGGGAGGAAGCAGGGAGGGGTTTTGTGCTCGTGCATGTTGCGCTCAGTTTCTCGTTCATTCAGATGTACAAAAGAATATGCGTGGGATTCGGCGTACGCAATGTTTCATACATCTGAATTTTTTTCTGCGTACGCACATTTACAGCTTTGTTTGTACGCAATGATTTAGTATGATTTCCACGCAAGTCTTCGTACATGAGGCCCCAGATGTTTTCATTTTAATGTGTTAAAGTGTGATGTTGTGGGCGTGTACACAGCTCGCTGTTTTAGGGGCGTGTTGCTTCACATGAAAATTAGTTTCAAATTCCCGCCCAACGTATCAAGGGGGCGGAGCCAAGAGCTCGCCCGCTCTGTGTTTGGCAACAAACAGGCAGACAGACGCTGCATGAGAGGATCAGCATTCAGCCGTACATGTACGCCTCGGCCACAGACCAAGCAGAGAGTACACAATCATTCATGTCTTTGTATAGTTTCTCAGCCAACTGTGTGCTAGTTTAAAGTGTCGAGCTTGTACACAGACTAATAACCAAGCACACTGAATTAACTTTGACTGAGGCACCAGATGACCTGCTTAGAGCCGCGACACGGCACACCAAACACGGACATTCACATGTTCAGATGGCACTCTGTGGTAGAGATCTGCGCGGGACTAATTATTGATTCCGGCCAGGTTCTAGCCCCAATCCGACTGCTCCTGCTTATATTCAGCATTTGTTGTCCCGCTACCCGCCGCGCCCATTCCCGCTAACGAGCGGGGGAGAACAAAACCGAAAACCACCCAGCTATACAGAGTCCAGACAGCCTATACAAGCTTTCTGTATAAACACACACACATAAGCACGCTCTTTCTCTCTCTCTCTCTCTCTCTCTCTCTCTCTCTCTCACACACACAGACAGCAGCACAAAGGTCTCTCTCTCTCTCATTCGCGCGCACACAGCAACAAAGCGGCACTCATGTGAGGCAAAGGCGCTCGCACTTTACAGCTGCACCTAGTGAGGATCACACTCACATGGAGCTTCTGTGACCTCGAGAAATGCAAACGGCTGAAGTTTAAGGTAGACGCAATGAAAAGTACACGTTTGCAAACCTACCGAATGCTGATCCAGTGTTGAGCACAATGAGCCTCACATCTAAAAATAGAGCACGGGTGTTCCTCTAGTGACACCGCTTTGACTCACACACTGAAAATGGCGGACGTGAAACGACAAACTGAGGATATGGTGACACGCGCCTGTCAATCAATATTGGTGGACGGAGGGACCGCACTCCTTTGTAAAGTTGCGGTCGCTCTAAAAAAACGCTCCAATTGGTCCACCGTTTTTTTGTTGTTAAATTGAAAAAAAGAACGGTGTGTGTTTATATCAGCCCAATATGACGGTTTATACACTATATATACACACATGTCTGTCCAGACAACTTGAAAAGTAGATTTTTCACCATAGGTGCCCTTTAAATTCAAATGAGATTGTGCTGTTTTCAGAGGAGGGCGGAGCTATAGATGCCTGTGTGTCAGCATCGTGGCAGATTAAACACAGGACCAATGTTATCTGTGTGAAAATGTTGAAATGTGTGCAGAAGTGTGTCAGATTGTGAGACGTTATTAGAGAAAGAGCCAGTCCAAACGCAGAAGCAGATGCTCAGGCTGATTGAAGATTAGCAAAACACACTTTTTTTCATGAATTAAGTGAATTAACTTGCACAGATTAATTGTTCACCTGAAGAATAACAGTCTGTCTAGCAAAATAAACACTGCATATTTGATTTGACCCAGACTTTAATACTAGATGCTTGCTCTGTGTGTTCAGTATGCAGATTCAGACAGCGGCGATGATTCTGACAAACGCTCCTGTGAGGAGAGCTGGAGACTCATCTCATCCCTCAGAGAGAAACTTCCTGCAAACAAGGTAAAGTGAAGTGTATTGTTGATATTGTTTTGTTCAAGTTATGCAATATCAGGGACTTTTGTTTTGCAGTTTGATGTTAGTATATCAGGATTGTTCATTTTAAGGTTATCTATATTCTAGTGTGCTCCAAAACAGCGGCAAAATTTGTGTTTAGATGATACCCGCTTGTTAAGTGGTGACGTGTTGGTGACGTATGTATACTGTTTTCGGGTCCAAGCCGCCACTCATTTGAGTTGAGAAATTATTAGTTTATGATCACTTTTAATTCATATCACACATTAAAGTTAATGTTATATAAAGTCAGAGTGTACACAACAATGTCTGGGCTTGCTGCATAACAAATACCAAAAATTTAACAATTTATAAAAAAATTTATCACTTTCTAACCATCGGATATTAGGCATGGACATGTATACTGCGATCGTGATTTTAGAAAACATTAAATCGCTTTGTAAACGTTTATAATTACCACTTCTTGAGTCTCCCCATTCAGTTGAATAGAGCGCTTGGACCCTGAACCCGCTTCGCGTGACGTCACACTTAACAAGATGTAAAGAACTGTACATTTCTAGTCAAACCATTCTTCTGCAATCTCATACCAAAAACGGAAATTAGGGCAGTATTAATAGCTATAAATGTGGGATATTATGTGATTGTTTTGTATTGCAATATGGAACAATTAAATGTTGATGTTAAATCAAAAGTAATTCACAAATACTGGAAAATGAGATGAATTAATGACAATAATTCTCTAGGATTACAACTGAATTAATTACAAATAACTGTATAAAATGATAAAATATGAAATGATAAAACATATGAAATAAATTGTACCCAGCTTAAATTAAAATTAAAGTTACCAGAGATAACCAGAGACAAAGAGAGCAGGCCTAGAAGTTAAGGCTGATTTATACTTCTGCGTCAAACGCCGGTGTATGCTACGGCGTCGACGCATAGCCTTTTGCCGTGGCCGTCGGCGTCGCTGACGTGCACCTCTCAAAAAATTTAACTACACGTCGCAACGACGCGTAGCGCAAGCTCTGTGATTGGTCGGCTTGGTAGCGCTGACGAGTCTGGGCAGGACCGAGAGCCGCGTGAATGGTGCGAACCTGATGGAGCGATTGTTTACAAGTGTGGAGTCCCGTGAAGGAGCTCCGGATGGAAAGTTTTGTTTTGTGTTTACCTCATAGTTAAAGTTGTTGCACGTCTGCCAGTTCCTGCCTCAAAATAAACGAGTTTGAGCCACTTGTACATCCCGGAAGTGTTCAGGAAAAGCAAAACAGCAGCGAAGAAACTCGACACAGAGGAACATTTACACCTCACTGCCCACTAGCGTTTCGGAAGTGTTAATGCAGACCAACAGAGACAGCGCGCAGAAGTATAAATGCACAGCTACACGCGTTGCATGCGCCGTGGGTTACGCCGGTCACCTGACGCAGAAGTATAAACCAGGCTTTAGCCTGATTATAGTATAGTCAGAGAAGATAGACTCCAGAGGAGGAGAGGAGCAGAGCAGGAGAGTGCAGTGACAGAAAAGACAGGCCAGGAAAAGAGACAGAGTAGAGTTTTTCACCTATTTTGTATCTTTCTTGACCATGTGACTAAAGCCCAATTACTGAGACCTTCAAACTGACCAGTCAACATGTGACCACATCATAAAACCCCCAAAGTCCACACACCAGGCCCTGATCTTATCAGTATCTGCCCTTGGACTCAGGCCCCATTTACACTAGAGCGTTATAGATCAAAATGCATTTTAGATCAAAAACGATCCGCGTCCACACTAGTGTTTCACCTAGTGTTTCTGAACATATCTCCGTCCACACTACACCACCAAAAACGTATATCACGTGACCATTGGCGCACTCTGGGCATGCGCGTTCTAGTATAAACAGGAAGCATGCGTCTCGCTCGGCATTTGGTTATTGTTAGTCAACAAACGCCGGTTGAACAATGAACGCGATGGCAAAGAAAGCAAGAGAGGTATTTTTGTGGACAGACGACGAGGTCGAGTTACTAAACGTAACAAATGAATAACAGCACAATGGCGCCTAAAACAGACAATAGTGCAAACAACGCTCCCATTTTTGTGTCCGTGTTGTTGTGTACAGTGAAGGCTGGTCTGCTGTCTTCCGGTAGCGTTAAAGCCATGTGTTATAGTCATGTGAGAGGGGCTTGACGAATAAGGGAAGGATACGCAATGACACAAAAGCCCCAATCAGGTAGCGAATCTCAGCAGCCCCGCCTCCGTTTTCAGATGTCTCCGTTTTCCCTCATCCACACTGAGACGGAGCAGCAGTGTTTTAGAGTGAAAACAGCTAATCAAGCGTTTCCAAAACACTCCGTTTTAGGCACTCGAAAACTCCAGCTTAGAGTGGACGGATGGCGTAATCGTAGCAAAACTAACGTGTTTTCAAACTAAAACGCATTAGTGTAAACGGGGCCTCAGTATAAACCTTCTTGAGTCAAAAAGACATGTTTTGTCATACAAACAAATGCATATGATCATTTAGCCTCTTACACATTTTACCTTGGGGCCGCTAGACACTGGGTGAGGCTGGGCCATATTAGCTTCATTCATTCATTTTCTTGTCGGCTTTGTCCCTTTATTAATCCGGGGTCACCACAGCGGAATGAACCACCAACTTATCCAGCAAGTTTTTACTCAGCGGATGCCCTTCCAGCCGCGACCCATCTCTGGGAAACATCCACACACATGCACACACACACACTCATACACTGTGGACAATTTAGCCTACCCAATTCACCTGTACCGCATGTCTTTGGATTGTGAGGGAAACCGGAGCACCCGGAGAAAACCCACGCGAATGCAGGGAGAACATGCAAACTCCACACAGAAACACCAACTGAGCCGAGGTTCGACCCAGCGACCTTCTTGCTGTGAGGCGACAGCACTGCCTACTGCGCCACTGCCTCGCCATCGGCACAAGGTTTTCCACAATAAATTAATTACATTATTAATTATTAATTTCTAATTAGTTTATTTATTTTTTTAATTAAAAAAAAATATTTAAAAAATAAAAATAAAGAGATTTGAGAAGATTGGAATTTTTTAAACACAAATAAGATAAGATAAACAAAACTAAAGCTAAACACTATTGGCCGTTTTAAACAAAGGGGAGGAGCTACTTGAGATTAAGTTGAGATTAATTTAAACATCGAATAGAAAATGCACATTTCAAAGCACTTCACTGGATCCTGTGTGTCTCCTGCCTGTGTTTCAGGTGCAGTCCATCGTGAAGCGCTGTGGTTTACCCAGCAGTGGGAAGCGACGTGAGCCGCTCCGCGTCTACCAGATCCCCCAGCGGCGCCGCATCAGCAAAGCCCCGGAGCAGCTGACCCTGAGCGACCTCAAGCTGCAGGCGGTGAAGGAGATCTGCTATGAGGTGGCGCTCGGAGACTTCCGACACTCGCGGCGGGAGGTGGAGGCGCTGGCCATCGTCAAGATGAAGGAGCTGTGCCGCATGTACGGGAGACGGGACGCCGAGAAGGACGGCTGGAGGGAGGTGGCGGAGGACGTGTGGGAGACGGTGGGCATCGGGGACGAGCGGTCGCAGGACACGGCAGACGCAGACGCAGAGAGCGCACGCAGCGGTGTCTACAACCTGAAGGCTCACATACACAAACTGACCGACATCCTACAGGAGGTCAAAGAGCAGAACAACATGAAGGACGAGGAGATCAAAGCCCTCAGAGACAGAATGATGAAGATGGAGAGCATCATACCGGTCGTACAGCAGGTACACACACACACACACACACACACACACACACACACTCTTAGACATGTGCATACTTACATGTGCAGACATGTGCAAACACCCCCGATCACACGTAACAGGCTTTTTTTCTTTTTTTTGGTCCCACTTTATATTAATTTTTACTTAACTAATATGTATTTACACAGGATCTAATAGTTTGCTACAATGTACCTATTCTGTAAATACATGAATTTACTGTGTACTTATGCTTGATTAAATACATGTATGTAGTTACATCTGTAATTAACTTTTGTAGTTACATTTGTAAATACACCGTTGACCATCCCTCACACCTTAACCCATCCTTAAACCTACCCACACCACCAAACCTGTTCATAAGCCAACCTCTATCCCAACTCAAAAGCACCACAAGGGGTCTCAAATACATTATAAACACAGTAAGTACATTGTATTTATTTTTTTGTGTAAGTACATAGTAGTTAAGGACACTTAATGTAAAGTGGGACCAACAAAAATCATAATACACATATATAAATATACATACATATATATATTATAGGTGGGCATAGATAATTGGTTTAATCTACATTCATCTCACTGTAATCTTGGAATTAATCTTGATTAAAATGGCTCATTTAAATTCCACCGAAGGCATTCAGAATATGTGCGCTGCCCAAATAATGACTAAAAGTAAGTCTTTGAAAACGGGTTTCTCAAGCCAGGTGGCGCATTAGACCAGGGGCTTATCTCCTGTTTCCAAAATGCATCACAAACTGCTTGAGGAACTGTTCTACTGTGATTATTGGTGATGAAAATAAATGATGTTGAATAAGATGTGCTTGTGTTTACTCACTGTTTATTCAGTTAAACATCAATGTTGAACTGTAGGCCTACATTAGCTCCAAACAGACATTATTAATGACCTTAATGTGACTAAAGTCATCACTGAACTACACAGAAATGAATTAAAACGTGTGGAGTATGCAGATATTAGTGCCGTTACTGAAGTAAACACTGCAATCAAACTATTAACGTCATATATTTTCCCACAAGACACACACACATGGTGAAATGCGGAAGTTTTTTTCTTTTCATTTGGCTTGCGTTATTAAATTCTACAACACTCTCACCAGTCCTTACTCCTTATTTGCGTCTAATAGCCCAGTTTGTCTCGTGGGGATTAATGAAATGTTTATGAGTGACTGCCGAACTGCGGTTAAAGTCACCCAAAATGATAGGAAACTCTTACAATAAAGCACTTCACATGAACACCTTCATTATATTATTGTCTATTAAGGCAAATAAGTAGATTACAGATGTCCATGTAAGTGTAGTCAGTCGTGTCTTTAAAGTAAGTGACAGATCCAGAAGGGCGTCCTGCTGATGTGGTTCAGAAGGGCACTGTTTTGTCAGACGGCTCACCGGTTTGACTTTCATTCACCATCATTCATTTTAATAAGCTCCCTCTCCATTTTATTTCTATATGTTTTACTGGAACACATAAACTCTACAGGTGCCTGATAGTCAGATGTGGAGCTGACATTAATCAGATTCACTCTAGTGAACTGCATGCATGTTAGCATGTCATGTTTGATGTGCCATTTCACGGTAGGAATATACACAGGTTCGAAGACTCGTTCTCGCCACCTACAGGCCAGGTATACATCCGCGCTAAAATATCAAGGTGAAAGTCAGCATAGCTTGTATAGAATAGACCCAGCTCCCAACCAAACTTTGAGGATAGACTAACGGCCATGTTTTTTTTTAATCTCTCGATAAGAGTCTCGCGTTAACGCAAGCTAATAACGGCCCACCACTAATTCACATATATACACAAATACAAATATACATGCATATATAAAACAATATTAAATATAAAAAAAATAAATAAATAAGTATAAAATAAAATATTAATTCGTTCATTCATTTTTTTGTCGGCTTAGTCTCTTTATTAATCCGGGGTCGCCACATCGGAATGAACCGCCAACTCATCCAGCAAGTTTTTACGCAGCGGATGCCCTTCCAGCCGCAACCCATCTCTGGGAAACATCCACACACACATTCACACTCATACACTACGGACAATTTAGCCTACCCAATTCACCTGTACCGCATGTCTTTGGACTGTGGGGGAAACCGGAGCACCCGGAGGAAACCCACGCGAAGGCAGAAAGAACATGCAAACTCCACACAGAAATGCCAACTGAGCCGAGGTTCGACCCAGCGACCTTCTTTCTGTGAGGCGACAGCACTACCTACTGCGCCACTGCTTCACCTAAAATAAAATATAATATAATTAAAGTGTATTTACATCCAAATCAGGTGAACGCTGCAGGATTTACAAGAGTTTTTATAAGTGCCTCCCACTTGTTAAAGGTCCAAATGAAATTGGACAGAATAATAATCAAATCAAACTTTCACTTTTTAATACTTGGTTGCAAATCCTTTGCAGTCACTTACAGCCTGAAGTCTGAAACGCATAGACATCAGCAGACGCTGGGTTTCATCCCTGCTGGTGCTCTTCCAGGCCTCTACAGCAACTGTCTTCAGTTCCTGCTCGTTCTTGCGGCATTTTCCCCTCAGTTTTGTCTTCCGCAGGTGAAATGCATGCTCAATCAGATTGAGGTCAGGGGATTGACTTGGCCATTGCATAACACTCCACTTCTTTTCCTTCAAAAACTCTGTTTGCTTTTGCAGTATGCACTGGGTCATTTTCAATTTGCACTGTGAAGCGCGTCCAATGAGTTCTGAAGCATTTGGCTGAATATGAGCAAGTAATGTTGCCTGAAACACTTCAGAACTCATCCTGCTGCTTTAGTCAGCATCACATCATCAATAAATACAAGAGAAGCAGTTCCATTGGCAGCCACACATGCCCACGCCATGACACCACCACCACCATGCTTCACTGCTTAGGATCATGAGCAGTTCCTTTCCTTCTCCATACTCATCTCTTCCCATCATGCTGGTACAAGTTGATCTTGATCTCATCTGTCCAGAGGATGTTGTTCCAGCACTGTGAAGGCTTTTTCAGAACTCTAATCTGGCCTTCCTGTTTTTGAGGCTCACCGATGGTTTACATCTTGTGGTGAACCCTCTGTATTCACTCAGGTCAGTCTTCTCCTGATTGTTCATCTTGACACACACACACCTGCCTCCTGTAGAGAGTTCTTGATCTGGCCAGCTGCTGTGAAAGGTCTTTTCTTCACCAGGGAAAGAATTCTTCAATTGTCCACCACAGTTCTATCCGTGGTTTTCCGGGTCTTTTGGTGTTGCTGAGATCACTGGTGCGTTCTTTCTTTTTAAGAATGTTCCACATTGTTGTTTTGGCCACGCCTAAAGGTTTTGCTATCTCTCTGATAGGTTTGTTTTGTTTTTTCTGCCTAATGATGACTTGACTGATAGTGACCGCTGTTTGGATCTCATCTTGAGAGTTGACAGTAACAGATTCCAAATGCAAAGAGCACACTTGAAATGAACTCTGGACCTTTTATCTGCTCATTGTAATTGGGATAATGAGGGAATAACACACTTGGCTAGAAGCCAATTGTTCTATTACTTTTGGACCCTTAACAAGTGGGAGGCACATAAGCAAACTGTTGTAATTCCTACAGCGTTCACCTAATTTGTATATCAATTCAAAATAAAGTCATCAATCCAGCTGTAATGTGATTAGTGAATGTAATGCTTAACTCTGTGTTTGTGCAGGATGACGATGAATCGGAGGATCTGCCCCCAGACGGTGATCAGGGGCGGGGCTTAGATGAGGATGGGCATAGCTGTGTCCCCAAAGAGGAGCGCGTGTCCCGGTTGATGGAGGAAGACCCTGCCTTCCGCAGGGGTCGCATGCGCTGGCTCAAGCAGGAGCAGATGCGTCTGCAGAACCTGCAGCAGCAGCAGATCACCAAGCGGCTGCGCAGAGGGGGCGGGGCTGTGGGTGGGGACGGAGGCGTGGTCCACCTTCCTGGAACGGGACGCTTCATTCCCCCGCAGGACTGCAAGCTAAAGTTCCCCTTTAAGAGTAACCCGCAGCACCGGCTGTCCTGGGGACCCAACACATCAGTAGTAGTGGACAACCTTAAGGTAGATTGCAGTGATGGACGAAGCCCCGCCCCTTCTATGCCACTACTTCCTTTACCGTTCCAAATGCCAGTTGTTATGCGTGCACCCTCACCTAGTCGCACTTGGCAACCTCGCCACCCTAGCAACGGTAACTATGTCAACGGCAATCAGTTTCCTCAGCAACAGCAGTGGCGCTACAGACGCAACTCGCTGGACGGATCCAGCATGCCTGCAAATCAAGGCTACTACGGCAACGGATTCCACCACAACAACAACAACAACGCCTCAGGCCGCGGTCGTTATCGGCGACAGTCGCCAGGCCCCTGTGCACGTGGCGACGGGGCGTACGCACAAACATACGCCAATCATCAGCGACCAGCCTACCAGACGCTACCGCACACGCTCACTGATCAGCAGCACGGCAGAAACCAAAAACCGCAGGGCTACGTGACGCCGCCGCGCATGAGACGGCAGTACAGCGCCCCCGACCTGAAGAGCAAAGAAACGCCCGTCTGATGTGTGTGTGTGTGTGCTCCTTCTTTTACTGTCGATGAATGATGATGTCATGAAACCCCAGACGTGTTGCTTTGATTGGTCAGTGTGTTCGTTAAAGCAGTCTCGTACAGTCAGACTATCACTGAATGAGTTTATTGTTACACTTTAGACAGGCAGAGACCCGTTCACATCACCCATGTAGAAATGGGATCTATGCAAGTACATGCAAATTATATAATTGATATTCAAGTTTATATTTTGTTTTCCTTTATTTTCATGACTATGAAAGTTGTCGATTCACACTGAAGGCATCAAAACTATTAACACATGCTTTATTTCTCGAAGCTCATCAAGAGAACGCCAAGAGTGTGCAAAGCAGTAATCAAAGCCAAAGGTGGCTACTGTGAAGAAGCTAGAATATGACATATTTTCAGTTTTGTCACACTTTTTTGTTATGTATATAATTCCACATGTGTTCATTCATTGTTTTGATGCCTTCAGTGTGACTCCACGATTTTCATAGTCATGAAAATAAACAAAACTTCTCAAATGAGAAGGTGTCCAAACTTTTGGTCTGTACTTATATAAATTAGATCATATATGCAACAAATATTTCAAAATATGGCAGAATTGGCTGTTTACATGTGTATTTTTTCAGTCATTGGAATTACAAATAGGCACATATGTTAAAATTTATTAAATGTAATTGCTTTGTACATTCACCCAAATATCAATACAAATATAAAATTATATATATGAGCAACATCACACGAGTAGCAGTGTGATATGGCTGTATATCGGCACTGGTGAGAGGTGTGCGATGGTGCCTTAGTGCCCCCACCAGTGCTGATTTACAGCCACGAGCTACAAGTGTGATATTGCGTTTATACAACAGTTTAACGGCATAATTGTGTATATAAAAACAAAATCAAACATGGAGAGTCTCAAAAACCCTTTTATATGAGGAACTACTTTCTTCCGCATTGGATTCAAATCATAGGGTGACAGTTAAACAGCTGTTAAAACAGTTAAAAGCATCTTTTAAGCTTTAGATCTGTAGTGTCTGCTGTTTGCTGGCTTTATGTGGGCGGAGTAATTCACAAAGGGTAAAGAGGCTGTAGGAGTTCTGATATTGCAGAATATCACACGGCTATCAGCCAATCAGATTTGAGAACCAGAGAGAACTGTTGTATAATTATATATATATATATATATATATATATATATATATATATATATATATATATATATATATAATTAATTAAGCACCCATTTTTGCTAATTTAAATATAAAAAACATATATGACATTTTGTATATGTGAAAAATACATTTGAAATCCATACTTGTGTCATGTATGTAATTTGCATTAGGGATGCTCATTTCGGTTAATTTTGCCAACCGGCAACAGCTGCTCATTAACCGAATGTTAACGGTTAACTGGCCGGATTAATGTTAAATTATTATTTAATTTTAAAAATATTAATTGATGTGTCTATTTTGTGCCTGACACATTAAATATTGCATTTTAAAATCCTAATTTAGTTTAACATGCGAACACCAGCAAACAGAACATACGAAGTTATCATTATCAAGTCATTGGATTTGTTTGCTTTGTGGATTAGGCTATGTAGGTTATTTTAAACTGGATATTTTAGAGGAACTACAGTCTAATAACTGTAATTATCCAAGTGGGAAAAGTTGGTTTGTTGGTTGTACACTAAGTCTGACTGTTTTCTCCAATTGTGCAAATAAACAGAGGTGTTTATGACTCAGAAAACGCAGAAAGCGATTCGCTATAAAACCCATTCATTTCAATGGCTTCTGCCACATAAAGGCTATGCTTGTTTTCCCTTTCACACCGGACGCAGAAAGCGATTCGCTATAAAACCCATTCATTTCAATGGCTTGTACTGCAAAACGCCAAATAGTTCCTGCACTGACTAAAGCACAAGAGCAGCAAAGCAAAACGTTGACTAGCTCGAACTAGCATTCAAAACAGCTCATCATTCTGCTCTGTGGATATTCTGCTCATGTGCATGTATACTTATGTATGCAAGAACGGCACATGTTCACTGGAAAAGCATAGATCGTCCAAATAATTTACCGACTGGACATTTCTATGTAATATACTTGTTCCTGCTACTTGCAATAGCTATACTGTCATCATGGCAACACTGCTAAAATGAAACCTCTTGACTCAGTGAAATCTAAAATTTGGTTATTTTATTCGTCAGAAATTGCACAAAATTGCTTTATATGATTGTAATATATATAAATATAAATGTTTAGTTTTGGTTTTCGGGCAGCTGCATCCAAAAGGTTTGGTTTCAGCCAAGTTTTAACATCGGTGCACCTCTAATAGTTATCATTGGATCATATGTGTTGTGAACGGATCTTTAGTTTGTGCAGACGAACTCTTAATCAGATAATAGCTTGTGTTTTGGAAAGCTCTTGTCATTTTAAGTGCAATATGCATGTGTGGGCTGTACGAGACTGTTTTACCCAAACACACTGCCATCATGTTAATACTCACTCTGTGTGTGTGTTCAGATTCACGAACCCCTCAGCAATGACTCGCCGAGAACTAGCTGAGCATCCGATTCAAACTAGTTCAGGATGTTTGTATGTTCAGCCTCGATGTGCCTTAATGAGACTCGAATAACCTCAGAGATCACTGAAGGAAATGCTGTGTGTGTGCGTGTGTGTGTTGTGTGTGAGCGTGTGTGTGAGAGCGAGAGAACGAAGGAGAGAGAGATGCTAAATAACTGTGTGACATACCGGAAGTTTAGATACCTGATTTGGGATTCTTTTGAATCGGTTTTTGTAAATGATTCATCAGACTGATTCACATCTAAACAACTCTAAGTGTCTTGATGTAATGAATCGTATTCGTATGGATTCTGTTCATCACCAGCAGGAATTGCAAAGTTTTTACATTTTATTTTCTGTTTAAGTAATGATCACGATTCACGAATGAATCAAACCGACTGATGTTCCTGGAAACTGAATCAGTGATAGACTCAAATCAAGAACCGGTTCATTGAACAGAACAGTCGGGTGAACTGATTCTTTGAATTGATTCAGACTGGAGGAAAGATATGAGATGAGCAGGAGTGAAGAACGCACGAGTGTGTAGGACAGGGAGGATTATAAACTGATGATGAAAGTGATGTTCAGAGGTCAATGAAGTGGACATGTGGAGTGAAGGTGCGAGTTTTAGACTTTTTCCAAACTTCAGGATTTTTAAAGTTGTGAGCGAATGATCTGAAGACGTTTATCAGATGGCAAGAATGTTTTTGCTGTTTATGAACTATGATTTCTGTGCCTTTAGGCTACAGATAGCCGTTTGATCCGGTTTGACATTATTTTGAGTGGCAGATTTGATTCAGTTGTGTTTGCGCAATGTTGCAGTGGAGCATCATGCTGGAGGCTCGGTGGAGATTCACTGGGAAATTAGAGGGAAATCTACTGAGAGACCCTCCTGTGGGATTTTCACTGGCGATTCTCACATACGTTTAGATTCCTGACTGCAGATCAAAACTTAGATTAAGATTTCTACTGGAAATTCTCAGTTGTGTTCAGAATTTCCAATGAGATTCCCACTATTGTTTGGATGTCCATTGGATATTCCCACTTTTGTTTGAATTACCTCTGGATATTCCCACTTTTGTTTGAATTTCCACTGGATATTCCCACTTTTGTTTGAATTTCCACTGGAGATTCCCACTTTTAGTTGAATTTTCACTGGATATTCCCAATTTTGTTTTAATTTCCATTGAAAATTCCCACTTTAGTTTGAATTTCCATTGAATTTTTCCATTTTTTTAAAAATTGCCATTGGATATTCCCACTTTAACTTGAATTACCACTGGATATTCCCACTTTTGTTTGGATTTCCATTGAAGATTCCCAATTTGGTTTACATTTTCGGTTGGAGATTCCCACTTTTGTTTGAATTTCCAATGGAGATTCCCACTTTTAGTTGAATTACCACTGGATATTCCCACTTTAGTTTGAATTTCCACTGGATATTCCCGCTTTTGTTTGAATTTCCACTGGATATTCCCACTTATGTTTGAATTTCTATTGGAGATTGCCACTTTTAGTTGAATTACCACTGGATATTCCCACTTATGTTTGAATTTCCATTGGAGATTCCCACTTTTAGTTGAATTTCCACTGGATATTCCCGCTTTTGTTTGAATTTCCACTGGATATTCCCACTTATGTTTTAATTTCCGTTGGAGATTCCCACTTATAGTTGAATTATCACTGGATATTCCCACTTTTGTTTGAATTTTCACTGGATATTCCCACTTTAGTTGAATTACCACTGGATATTCCCACTTTATTTTGAATTTCCACTGGATATTCCCGCTTTTGTTTGAATTTCCACTGGATATTCCCACTTATGTTTGAATTTCTATTGGAGATTCCCACTTTTAGTTGAATTACCACTGGATATTCCCACTTTATTTTGAATTACCACTGGATATTCCCAATTATGTTTGAATTTCCATTGGAGATTCACACTTATAGTTGAATTATCACTGGATATTCCCACTTTTGTTTGAATTTCCACTGGATATTCCCACTTTTAGTTGAATTTCCACTGGATATTCCCAATTTTGTTTGAATTACCTCTGGATATTCCCACTTTTAGTTGAATTTCCACTGGATATTCCCAATTTTGTTTGAATTACCTCTGAATATTCCCACTTTTGTTTGAATTTCCACTGGATATTCCCACTTTTGTTTGGATTTCCATTGGATATTCCCAATTTTGTTTGAATTACCTCTGGATATTCCCACTTTTAGTTGAATTTCCACTGGATATTCCCAATTTTGTTTGAATTACCTCTGAATATTCCCACTTTTGTTTGAATTTCCACTGGATATTCCCACTTTTGTTTCAGTTTCCACTGGATATTCCCACTTTTGTTTGAATTACCTCTGGATATTCCCACTTTTGTTTCAGTTTCCACTGGTGATTTTAACTTTTCTTTCAGAAAGACATTTGTTATTCCTACTTTAGTTTTGATTTTCACTGCAAATTCTCACTTATGTTCAGTTTCTCATTTAGAGATCCTAACTGGAGACTCCCACTTTTATTTGAATTTCCCCTGGAGATTTACATTTACATGTGGAGTTACACTGAAAATCTTTACTAGATATTCCCAGATTTGTATAGATTTCATATGAGATTTTCAGTTATGTTTAGATTTTTAACAGATTTCCACTGGAGATCCCCACGTTTGGTTTGGATTTCTGCAGGAGATTTCCACTCGATATTCCCAGTGTTCTTCAGATTTCCACTGTATCCCATCAGATAGCTAATGAGACCTGCGGAGGCTTTTTGTGTGTGTGTGTGTTTAGATGCGGGAGGGCGGAGTTATGCGAGATTAGACATGACATCACTCAACCAGCACAGGAGCTTTCTGAACAAGACCTTTAACACTTCAGGACAATCTACTGATTGTGTCGTGTGTGTTTTGATGACGATGTCTCTCGTTTACACTCGCTTCCTTCTTTAATACGACACTTGTGTAGCTGCTTCTTGCTTTATTGGATTATAATTTAATTGATTAATCTGTTTGCGTGGTCACGTGTGTATGAGGAATCCGCTGTTCATTTGCACAAACACACACACACATTCATGCTTGACTTTGTGTGTGTGTGTGTGTGTGTGTGTGTGTGTGTGTGTGTGTTTTGTTTGATTTTGACGTTTGAGCCTCTTGTGTCTGATTGGACACGAGCTGCCGCTTCTGTTTCTGCTCTTCTGTTGCGCTTTTATTCTGGATTTTAAGTTACTTTTAAGTTTTAAAAATGTCTGGTTAAAAACCGCAA